TACAAGACCCAGTACATCCTATCACACATATACAAGTCCCTGTGCATCCTATCACACATATACAAGTCCCTGTGCATCCTATCACACATATACTAGTCCCTGTGCATCCTATCACACATATACAAGTCCCTATGCATCCTATCACACATATACAAGTCCCTGTGCATCCTATCACACATATACAAGTCCCTGTGCATCCTATCACACATATACAAGTCCCTGTGCATCCTATCACACATATACAAGACACAGTACATCCTATCACACATATACAAGACCCAGTACATCCTATCACACATATACAAGTCCCAGTACATCCTATCACACATATACAAGTCCCTGTGCATCCTATCACACATATACAAGACCCAGTACATCCTATCACACATATACAAGACCCAGTACATCCTATCACACATATACAAGTCCCAGTACATCCTATCACACATATACAAGTCCCTGTGCATCCTATCACACATATACAAGACCCAGTACATCCTATCACACATATACAAGACCCAGTACATCCTATCACACATATACAAGTCCCAGTACATCCTATCACACATATACAAGTCCCTGTGCATCCTGTCAAACATATACTAGTCCAACTCAAAAAATGCTAAAAACGCAAATTTACTGCTAATTCCAATGCGATACTGCACAAATAGTAATCTCCTAGGCAATCCAAAAAAGATTATTCTGAAATATATAAGACCCCAACATTATCTTCTTCAACATGACAGTTTCAGCCATCCCACCCCCAATAATAAAGTTTACTGTGACGTCATGTTGCATTGTTCCCATGACGTCATCATACTGTTCATTTCTACACGCTAATTTGTCACGCCATCGGAGGCTGATAGATAATATATACGTTAGACCGAAGATTTCTGTCTCTAAAATGATAATTTAATGTCAATATTCACTTCTATTATGCGGTTATTGATAGTTTGAATAACCCGACTGAATAATATCGGACTGTTCCGGATAATGATGGACGGTACCGGGCGGTCCAGGCTTGTATTAGGACAGCTGGCAATGGTGGCACTATTGAATTTTTAAGTCGAAGCGGTGAGGGGTGAAATCACACTCGAATGACATAGAAATAGCAAATAAACTTGTCTTGTTTTGAAATGAACCCAAGATTTCTGGGTAAATCATCGTTTAATTCGCTTTCATTTTAAGAGATAGAAATTTTCGGTCTAGATATACGTTAAGGTGGCAGTATATTCTCAAATTCGTCACCGTATTTTTTTTATAATATTCATCACCTTCGCCAGGGACTGCCTCCGTGCTAGGAGGAGATGGACCTACATATTTAATCAATCCAAGTATAGATCGAGGCTGTAACTTAAATATTCTTATCACGAGTGTTAGGAATTATCAAACACAAGCAGTTCTAAAGGTGATCTTAATAAATCGCGCTATTTCTGTATTGGGTGTGACCATTTCACAATCGGGTGACGTCATCATACATGACGTAATGTTTTGTTTCGGCAATGCAATATATAAGCTTTGGAAAGTTATGAAAAAGTTGGGGAAATAATAGAATTGAAGCACGCTTAAAAACTTTTTGAACACGTTTTAAGTGTAAAAAGGTCAAAATCTAGTATCAATGATTGTATAATAGTGGAGAGAATCGAGTACACCTTTGTCGTGACGAGGATACATGGTAAGGGACACTCTGTACCATACATCCTTGTTTGGTTTTAGTAAAATAAGTAAATAAATAAATAAATAAATAAATAGATAAATTAGATTTTTTAAACAAAGATAAATAAATAGACAAGTAAACAAGTAAAAGATTGAAGATAAATAAATAATGAGAACAAATATAGTTGGATAAATAAAGAAAAATTATGAAATAAAGATAGGACACTAGAAAAACGAATCCGTGTGTGTTTAAGACTACAAAAATGAGCTGTAGGTGCCGTGAAATGGTCTCATATGATATAGAATCACTCTGGACACGGTGTAGAATTTATACACGTTGGTCAAGTTTTTGGTCACTCTCAACGCTCGTGTTTATAAATGACGTTTAACCGTTACTAGAAACATTCAGCGGAACTATTCATTGTAAACCTGCTCTCCACGATCCGTGTACACCTAATTACTCCTGGACAGAGATAAAGTGATGTGCAACAGAGCTAAAGGTCCAGTTCGTAATCATTATGTAAATTGTAACCAAGAAAAACACTGGAAAAATTGTAAGGAAGATGTGCACCTCAAATACTTTAAAATGCGAGCGGGCCGAAATAAAATCCCTGAAATACAACTTTCGTGCTGTAGTTTATACTGAAGTACGATACTATGTACCTATAAATGCATTGGTGCAGATGTTGTTAGCTGGTGCATGGAGAATAGGTGAGTTAAAGTAGGTCAACTGCAGCATTGTTCTACAACTTGAGCAAATGTTTCAAAAGTACGTGAATCTTGAAAACGTAAACATTTCCAATCACTGATACGATTTGTTTTTGTTTCCTTTCATTAATTGCAACAAAGCAGAATCATCCGCCAGTGAACCTTGTGTCAATGTTTGATCGTCGATCTTGCCACCGAAGGGCAAGCTAACTATACTAGGCGTTACTCGGTATATCAGGATAGAAGTCAGATACATATAGCCGTATATTAGGTGTCACACGACAGTGAGCAATTATGATACTTGGATGCTAATTTTAGCTGTGATGCAGTGAACCAAGTCGCCCTTCTTCTTAAAGATAAGCTCAGTGACGTCAATTGTCCACCATCTCGGGCCCCAACAATTACACGGCAGGACCGGTGACAACGGGCCAATTATGATAGTTATCTACAAAACAAATGGTACAGGAAGAATGAGACCAGGTGTTCAAGAAGCGTACACGCTTTTACTGTTTGCTAAGTTATTGCAACTTAAATAGGCCAACTGTTCTAAAGCACTACTCTACAGCGACATTAGGTAGACTTGGCGCCCGTAGGAAAGGCTCTGTAGAAAGATTTGGATGTTATTGAGGAAGGAGATAGACGCCTTCATCACCACTTTTTATTATGTGTTGGAGATTGAAAAAGACACAAATATAGAGTTAGAAACATTACAGTCAAATAATGAATTAAACTTCATCACAATGGTGTTTCCTCCTTCTAGGACTACGTTCTACCTCATACAGCTGTTTCCACCTTCTAGGACTCGTCACTGATGCTACGCCATACAGCTATTTCGTCCTTCTAGAACCCGTCTGTGATGCTACATCATGCAACTATTTCGTCCTTTCAGGCCTCCTAGTGACGGTACATCATACAGCTGTTTCGTCCTTCTAGAACTCATCAGTGATGCTACATCACGCAGCTGTTTCGTCCTTCTAGAACTCGTCAATGATGCTACATCATACAGCTGTTTCGTCCTTCTAGAACTCGTCAGTGATGCTACATCATGCAGCTATTTCATCCTTCCAGGACTCGTCAGTGATGCTACATCATGCAGCTATTTCATCCTTCCAGGCCTCGTCAGTGATGCTACATCATGCAGCTATTTCATCCTTCCAGACCTCGTCAGTGATGCTACATCATGCAGCTATTTCATCCTTCCAGGACTCGTCAGTGATGCTACATCATGCAGCTATTTCATCCTTCCAGGACTCGTCAGTGATGCTACATCATGCAGCTATTTCATCCTTCCAGGACTCGTCAGTGATGCTAACGGTATCCATTGTAATCTAGAAGTCGACTATTGACAAATCAGATTGATAGAAATAAATGCCGAAAACAAGAAGAAAGAAGTGAGGAGACTTGAGCGCGTAACCTAACCCCAAATCACGTTGTTTCACTGTCAAATGTTGATCATTGTTGGATCAGATGGTCCAACCTTCAAAATAAGAGCTACATTAATTATACTGTCTCTGTTTGGCATATAAAACATCACAGACACCATCTGCTCTCGTCAAAACATTTCATAAACTCAACAGATGACCCTATCATACAGTCATGTGAACTTTTCGAACAGATGATGACGGATGTGCATATAAATCACGTGAGTAGCCACAGAGACAAATACGTCAGATGACCAGTGTCTATGTGTTCAGTATTTCATTTTATTTGTGCATCATATAAAACGATTATTTTTGTTTACATAACGACATCAGCTGTAAACTCCTAATACTTTAACAATTACAACACAAGAGGTCCGAGAGACCCGCCCTGAGTAAGTCCGTGACCTTGTGTTTAAATCAAAATAGCATTAGATTGCATAATCATTTATATGCACCGTGGGATAGCTACATTAAAACCATGAATATAACACTCTCAAGTGAAATTAAATGTTTTCACCGTCATAAGGTAATGTGATATCCAGGGTAACCACAAACTCCTTCCATTCTAGGCCACTGTAAAAGTCTTACTCCCGTGATACAACGTGTATATCCCCTACATCAATACCACACGACCTTGAGGGTAAAACCGGACTCTAGGACAACATCCGGAAACTAGGACAACATCTGGAAATTATGACAACATTCAGGAAATAGGACAACATCCAGGAACTAGGACAACATCTGGGAACTAGGACAACATCCGGAAATTAGGACAACATCCGGGAACTATGACAACATCCGGAAACTAAGACAACATCCGGGAATTTGGACAACATCTTGAAACTAAGACAACATCCGGAAAGTAGGACGACATTTGGGAACTAGGACAACATCCGGAAGCTAAGACAACATCCGGGAACTTGGACAACATCTGGAAACTAAGATAACATCCGGAAATTTGGACAACATTCGGGAACTAGGACCAAAAGTAGGACGCTAAAATATCTCCGGACACTTAAACTACGGTTAGACACTCACACTTTGTGCTCGCCAGTTTTATAGTATGTAAAATGTGAGTGCGTTCCAGAAATTCTTGTCACAAGTGTTTACAATGTACGTTAACTGTGATACAAGTGGTCAGTAGTAATGTTAATACCGGAGACTATACAGAATTTTGGACAGACAACTTAGAAAAGACCGACCAGATCAACACGATAAACTTCACGCTTGAGGGGGAAATGTATTGTAAAATTTCAGCAGAACTCAGGCACAGAGTGACAGAGAATGACAGATATTGACATATATATACAAGTGTTTACAGACATTGGGTGTTTGTTTTGATGACTGACAACATTGCACAGATTTACAGACGCCATTTAACTGTCATCAATGAGAAACCTAAATAGTTAACTTTACAGGGCAAATACATATCGGTACAATATCTACCTGTCCTAACATTTCCAGCAATCCTTTTATGGGTGATTGCGCCTTTGAGAACGTGATTTATATCTGGATGATGCTGTCGTTGTTATGTAGATAAAACATTCAATTCAACTCCTCGGATTTATTCTGAATAGTACACTTTCCACTCCATTGCTTAACATTATTTGTAGATTTTTTTTTTGACAAGTTGCCTAGTTCGTCAGATCACGTGACTGTCACAATGTTACAATTAAGAGGTAATGCCTCTACAGAGAAGGCCGACAATTTGGCCATGCCGATCAAGGGAAGAGAGGAAGGTAAAAACCAGAGCATACTGGCGGCTCTATTGCCAGGGGCGAAAATTCAGTCAGGAGGGAAAGTGGTGGTAAATGTGGGCACGACTCGAGAGACTGTCATCTTCAATGTCGGTGGCACGCGGTTCGAAACTTTTAAATCAACGCTCCATAGCCAACCCGAATTCGCTTTGGCGGATGAAAATTTTCTGCAGAGGCACTTCCGGAAGGACGCCGGGGATTACTTCTTCGATCGTGATCCTGATATGTTCAAAGTGAGTGTTACTGTGGCAGTTGTTTGCCATTTCTTTATATGTACTGTTGTGACTAGTTATACCAAACATCCGGGCACTGTCGAAATATTGTGTAACTAAATATATAGCGTGCGTCCTATCACTAGCAATATACTTCTTATACTTTCCATCCGGGCGCTTACAGCATGTTGCTAATACTAACAGAATTATTTACATCTGGGCACTGTCAAAATTTGTGAGTTATTAATTTGCTATATCAATTTCTGACGAATTAACAAACAGGAACTTTCGGTAGAATAGAAGTTCTTATAACACAACCAGTAGAAGATTAGAGTGTGACGTTTCGATGACTACACGGTAACCATCATTTTATAACACAACCAGTAGAAGATTAGAGTGTGACGTTTCGATGACTACACTGTCACCTTAATCAGACAAATGACCAGTGTAGAGCGTACTAGCACTGACGTACTTAGTGTACAAGATGGTAAGGAATCGACCAACTTTTCGGCTGCACTATAATTCTTTGTACATTAAGGTCGAAAATAATGTGACGAGATGTTAAACAGCTTATAGACAAAAAATACCACCAGATGGTAACAATGTACTGCTGTCAATTCGGCTAAGCTTTGTTTAGCACTTGGTCATAGATGTGCGAGAATCTGTGGTCCCCCTCGTCCCTATTAAGTACTGACCCACTACAGCATATCCAGATGGCTTCCTTGACCAACTGTCTGAAATGGTTGTTTTTTCCTGTTGACTATCTTGGAATTTTCCCAGTCAATGATATGATTTTGCTGTGTAGAATGATCTGTAAGTGCAGACTTATTGATCTTTGACTATGAATGTTTTCAATTTGATCTAGTTTTTTTTTTGGTTATGAAAACTTCTATTCTATTAACATTACCAACTCGAAGAAAAAATTGAAGTAATACAGCCTTACAATATAGAATCTTACAGTCGTTATGATGAAATCGTAATAAACATTGGCTTATTTTAACAACTTCTGAACACCAACTTTCCCATGATCTGGATGTTTAGACAGGAAGTGGATATATCACGTGATAGTTCAAATTCTTGTGCCTACTTCCTTTTCAGCGTTGCACGTGTAAACATTCGCACACGTGAGGATATGTGTTGATTTTTGTACTATAATATAGTGACATTTTTACATACACGAATCCTACATTTAAACCACACAGTGATATCAGTATCTGTATAACACAAGCCAATGATGCGATCAATTCACTTGGTCTGGACCAACAATTTTAACCTTCATAAATTATAGTTGTTGATTTATGCAACTTTAAAGTAGCAGAGGTAACATGATAAAGCTATATTCAGGCATTATTTAAAATTGACAGTGATTCCTGTGAGCGGTAATATCACCAGTATATATTGTAATGTTTAACTATATTGCGAAAGAAAGAAGATATGTTTATGAAACACTAGGTTCCCGGTTACAACAAAATTCTGAATTGGGACATGAAAACGGCGTGTGTTAATTGCACGAACACTTCGTGAAACATTTATATCTTCCCTTTGGTAATGATTTTTCTTACTTTCTAAGTACGACATCTTGTTTTAGAATATGTTTATGGTAGAACTGACTGATCGGGACTGGAGAAGTGATAATGGAGGTGCTAGGGCATGGTATGACGTTATTTATGAATGGGCATCCTCTGTGGTCAACATTACAAACCTAAATCTGTTACATATAATATATAATATCCACATTATTAGGGAGTAAGCATACACGAATACAACATACAGTTCCCTGACTGGCTGTTCTCTGATATATTCTATAGATACACGTGTCTCTGACTGTTGTGTGGTATATTCTATAGATACACGTGTCCCCGACTGTTGTGTGGTATATTCTATAGATACACGTGTCCCCGACTGTTGTGTGGTATATTCTATAGATACACGTGACTCTGACTGTTGTGTGGTATATTCTATAGATACACGTGTCCCCGACTGTTGTGTGGTATATTCTATAGATACACGTGTCCCCGACTGTTGTGTGGTATATTCTATAGATACACGTGTCCCCGACTGTTGTATGGTATATTCTATAGATACAGGTATCCCCGACTGTTGTTTGGTATATTCTGTAGATACACGTGTCCCCGACTGTTGTATGGTATATTCTATAGATACAGGTATCCCCGACTGTTGTTTGGTATATTCTGTAGATACACGTGTCCCCGACTGTTGTGTGGTATATTCTATAGATACACGTGTCCCCGACTGTTGTGTGGTATATTCTATAGATACACGTGTCTCTGACTATTGTGTGGTATATTCTATAGATACACGTGTCTCTGACTGTTGTGTGATAAATTCTATAGATACACGTGTCCCCGACTGTTGTGTGGTATATTCCATAGATACACGTGTCCCCGACTGCTGAGTGGTATATTCTATAGATACACGTGTCTCTGACTGTTGTGTGGTATATTCTATAGATACACGTGTCCCCGACTGTTGTGTGGTATATTCTATAGATACACGTGTCTCTGACTGTTGTGTGGTATATTCTACAGACCTGACTGCTGTGTGATATATTCTATAGATACACGTTTCTCTGACTGTTGTGTGGTGTATTCTATAGATACACGTGTCTCTGACTATTGTGTGGTATATTCTATAGATACACGTGTCCCCGACTGTTGTCAGGTATATTCTATAGATACACGTGTCCCCGACTGTTGTGTGGTATATTCTACGTGACTGTTGTGTGGTATATTCTATAGATACACGTGTCCCCGACTGTTGTGTGGTATATTCTATAGATACACGTGTCCCTGTTGTGTGGTATATTCTATAGATACACGTGTCTCTGACTGTTGTGTGGTATATTCTACAGACCTGACTGCTGTGTGATATATTCTATAGATACACGTTTCTCTGACTGTTGTGTGGTATATTCTATAGATACACGTGTCCCCGACTGTTGTGTGGTATATTCTATAGATACACGTGTCCCCGACTGTTGTGTGGTATATTCTATAGATACAGGTATCCCCGACTGTTGTTTGGTATATTCTGTAGATACACGTGTCCCCGACTGTTTTATGGTATATTCAATAGATACAGGTATCCCCGACTGTTGTTTGGTATATTCTGTAGATACACGTGTCCCCGACTGTTGTGTGGTATATTCTATAGATACACGTGTCCCCGACTGTTGTGTGGTATATTCTATAGATACACGTGTCTCTGACTATTGTGTGGTATATTCTATAGATACACGTGTCTCTGACTGTTGTGTGATAAATTCTATAGATACACGTGTCCCCGACTGTTGTGTGGTATATTCTATAGATACACGTGTCCCCGACTGCTGAGTGGTATATTCTATAGATACACGTGTCTCTGACTGTTGTGTGGTATATTCTATAGATACACGTGTCCCCGACTGTTGTGTGGTATATTCTATAGATACACGTGTCTCTGACTGTTGTGTGGTATATTTATATAGATACACGTGTCCCCGACTGCTGTGTGATATATTCTATAGATACACGTTTCTCTGACTGTTGTGTGGTATATTCTATAGATACACGTGTCCCCGACTGTTGTGTGGTATATTCTATAGATACACGTGTCCCCGACTGTTGTGTGGTATATTCTATAGATACACGTGTCTCTGACTGTTGTGTGATAAATTCTATAGATACACGTGTCCCCGACTGTTGTGTGGTATATTCTATAGATACACGTGTCTCTGACTGCTGCGTGGTATATTCTATAGATACACGTGTATCTGACTGTTGTGTGGTATATTCTATAGATACACGTGTCCCCGACTGTTGTGTGATATATTCTATAGATACACGTGTATCTGACTGTTGTGTGGTATATTCTATAGATACACGTGTCCCCGACTGTTGTGTGGTATATTCTATAGATACACGTGTCCCCGACTGTTGTGTGGTATATTCTATAGATACACGTGTCCCCGACTGTTGTGTGGTATATTCTATAGATACACGTGTCCCGACTGACTGTTGTGTGTCCCCAACTGTTGTGTGGTATATTCTATAGATACACGTGTCCCCGACTGTTGTGTGGTATATTCTATAGATACACGTGTCCCGACGACTGTTGTGTGGTATATTCTATAGATACACTGTTGTGTGTGTATATTCTATAGATACACGTGTCCCCGACTGTTGTGTGGTATATTCTATAGATACACGTGTCCCCGACTGTTGCGTGGTATATTCTATAGATACACGTGTCCCCAACTGTTGTGTGGTATATTCTATAGATACACGTGTCCCCGACTGTTGTGTGGTATATTCTATAGATATGTCCCCGACTGTTGTGTGGTATATTCTATAGATACACGTGTCCCCGACTGTTGTGTGGTATATTCTATAGATACACGTGTCCCCGACTGTTGTGTGGTATATTCTATAGATACACGTGTCCCCGACTGTTGTATGGTATATTCTATAGATACACGTGTCCCCGACTGTTGTGTGGTATATTCTATAGATACAGGTATCCCCGACTGTTGTTTGGTATATTCTGTAGATACACGTGTCCCCGACTGTTGTATGGTATATTCTATAGATACACGTGTCCCCGACTGTTGTTTGGTATATTCTGTAGATACATGTATCCCCGACTGTTGTTTGGTATATTCTATAGATACATGTATTCCCCCATTGTTTGCTATATATTTTGATTATATCACGAATCTTTCCCGCGTCACTGTCCGCAGTTAACGGATTATGTAATATTTTCGTGATTTATCACATTTTACAATAATTCGGACAGGTTGCACGCTCTCCCTTACTTGTCACGACGTTAAGTTCCTCTTGAAAGGATTAATGTTTGTGCTGACAGGAAACATTACCCGATATAACGAATTGTCATCGTTTGTGATCTTCCTTCGTAAGAACGGAAGTGGCGACCCAGATCTCGAACATGTACTGGGACTTTCTTTAAAAATAAGTAAGTAAATATATTGGAGATTTCGATTTCGGTTACCTACACGACTGGTA